ATGGGGCAGCCCCTTCCCAACAGAAGCCCCATTTCGAAACCTCTCCAGTGGTTTCAATTTCCTCTGTTTGCTCCTCACCCCACTTCGTAAGGCTGACATGTTCTGCACAGTAATGACCTGAGAGTAGATCCCATTGTACTCACTGGGGCTTATGGACAGAACTTGGTGCAAAAACCAGTCACCACCCTGTCCCCAAGCCTGAAAACTGCAACCCCAGAGCATGGGCAGAAAATAGCACAGTAGCTATTACAGTGGTACCTCAGGTTAAGTACTTAATTCGTTCCAGAGATCCGTACTTAACCTGAAACTGTTCTTAACCTGAAGCACCACTTTAGCTAATGGGGCCTCCTGCTGCCACTGTGCCGCTGGAGCACAATTTCTGTTCTCACCCTGAAGCAAAGTTCTTAACCTGAAGCACTATTTCTGGGTTCACGGAGTCTGTATCCTGAAGCGTATGGAACCCGAGGTACCACTGTACATGTACTGTAGATGCCTGCATGCTTGGTTCTTTGTATGCAGAGCCCAGTTCACAATCTTTGAGCTCTCTCATTGCAAGCCAGGCAGGTGATATGGCCATATTTGCCTCTTGCATGGGGACCAAATCTTTGGGGAAGCTTTTCATCTCCAATTGGTAGGAAAGAGGGTTCATTAACCTGGTGGGGGGAGGTGGCTTTTCAGCCCATAAATTCAACTCACGCTGGAATATCTGGTGGGCTGGATCTGGAGCACAAAGAGTCAAGTTCTACTTGCATGAGCCCTTGTGTTCCTTCTTCAAACTTATTAGGCAGGAACGTCAGAGGTCAAATCTGGAGAATATTTCATTCTGGGCGTCTTGTGGCAGAGCACAGAAGGCATGTAAACAATTCTTTTCAGTTCTGTCAAGTAGGTCCTTCCCCAGATTCCTCAACTGCAAAGACCCCGGGGTCTTTGAGTTAGGGGGTTCCTTGGGGTCCAGGTCAGCTGGCTAGTCAGGATTGTCACCTGCAGAATCTTTGTCAATTAAAGCAGGATAGTCTGCCTTGAACTGAGGACTTTTTGGAGGTGTTGCTGTATGTGGAAGCAGAGGAGCTGGTGATGCCACATTTTGGAATAATCTTGAGACTGATACACCACTCTTCCTTAGATATTCTCTGTGCTTATACACCATCTTCACAAACTTTACGCTCCTCTTGTGACAAGATTCCCAAAGGCTTAGGGTAGCTTGAGAGAAGTAGCTTATTTTGAGACAGCACCCATTTCCAATTCCTTTTTATGAAAACCCTCTCCCTAGTTGGTTTGGTTTTGGCTTTTGACAGGACATCAGACCATTTGATAACCTTGCATATCGTTTCATATTGATATAGGGATCTGGTGTGCAGATTCTAGCATAGTACAAGCTTCTTAGTGTTCTGTCTGGACCCAGAGCATGAGCTGCTCTCAAGCAGGTTCAAAAGTTTTTTAAAGTCAACTTTTTAATATTGCACTATTTTGTAATTTTTAACATTAGTTCCTCTACTTGTTTAGCCTGAATTTGGGCTTGAGTCGCTTGAGCTCCTGGTCTCAGTGCCAGAGATGACTTAGCAGTTGAGCTGCCTGGGCCCAAAACCTCTTTCTGCTCATCCTTAGAGCTGCTGAGAGATCCTATAAGGTCAGTAATAGGATCTGGCTCCTGCTGTTTCTTAGCCACCTCCTCATTTTCCTTATTCACGTAAAATTGAGTAATTTTTGCTTGTGCTTTCTTCAGAGAAGCTCTCTTTGGAGGAGGGTCTGTGGCACTTGGGGAGAGAACATACATTTTGTAACTACTCTGGGTCAACACTGTCTTTCCCCTTAATTCCTCATCAAGTTTCCTGATATCAATAATAATAATAATAATAATAATAATAATAATCCTAGCCTGAGAAAGAAATTGAGGCTGAAATGACTGAAGAATGCAAATGAATGTTTGTGAAAGAGGAAGAAGGGAAGGGAGTTACTGCCTTTTTTGGCTGGTATTAGCTAACGTATTTATGGGACCCGGAGATTCGAAAAGCCTGGCTCTTTCCAGGGATGGATTTAATTTGGCTCAGTCATGGAATCCGCTCCATCTCCAAGCTCAGTCATTTCTTTGCTCAACCAAAAACAGAAGCAGAAAGGGAAACAGAAAATTAGACAGGAAGTACCTCCATGTCCTTAATATCTCTGAAGATTACATTGAAGAAGGCCTGGGCAGCTCAGACCAGCCTCCTCACCGTTGGAAAAGGCAGCACTGGTGGACGAATATTCCCAGACAGAACAGGAGATACATCTCCTATGGAGAGTTGTGGGTGTGTTAACATCTCAGATGCTGTAGGTGGCGCTATGGGGCTCCCTCAAAATAGAGGAGGTTTGTCCTTCAGAGATCTGTATGGAATTTCAAAACTGATCTTATGATCCAGCAGGGAGCCTTACCAGAGAGGCCACGATCCCAGGATTCTCCTCCTTGACTTCCTTCTGCAGAGCTCTCTGGTCAGGATCCAGCAAAGCCCAGTCCTCCTCTGTGAAAGGAACAGCTACGTCTTCAAAGCACACTGGACCCTAAGAGAAAAAGGGAGAAGAAAGATGATATTTTTCTAAACATTGCTCTGTTCTTTTCTGAAACCATTTTGTTGTGTATTTAAATGATGGGTATTAATCTTTGTGTAAATGGGGGAATTCCACAAAATAATGTTTTATTATCTATATGGCACTCATCTTCAAGTAAATCTTTGCAAGCATTCCCATTTTCCAGATGGAAGGACCTCCTCTCCCTTCATCTGGTGGGTTGGACCCTCCCAATGCCCTCAAGCCAACTTCCAGGGGCACCAGGAGGGGGAGGGGAGGGAATGGTTGGCTGGTTGGCAGTCATCTGTCTTGGGAGACCATGGAAGAGTGTGTCTTTGGGAGTGAGATCCAGTTGTTGGAAGGTCACAGCGCCAGCTGTGGGTGTGGAGAGCGACAGGGGAGAGACATAAACAACTACCTGACATTCAGAAGACATCTTAAGGCAGCCCTGCTCAGGGAAGTTTTAAATGTATGACATAATAGTGTCTTTTTCGTTTTTGTGGAAGCCGCCCAGAGTGGCTGGGAAACCCGGCCAGATGGGCGGGGTACAAATAAATTATTATTAGTAGTAGTAGTAATATTATGTTGTATAATATAATATTGTTGCATCTGGGACAGAGGAAGTGGTCCTGATGTGCTGCTGCAGATGCAGACGGGCTTTTCTTCTCCCTGTGCTCCCCCCACGTGGGAATGTTCCCGTCTGGCTGCAGCCTCAGTTCACAAAGGTGACTTTTCCCTCCCTTTGAAGGGGGTTTACTTTCTTGACCCGAAGCCCCCTCCCTAAAAAGGAAGAGCAGAGCTGCATATTTCCTGCAAACTGGCCCCTCCCTGGCTTGGCAGAGAGGACAAGGGAGGACCCTCTGCTCCCCGACTTGGGGGTCTCCCCAGGCATGATCTGAACAGGGACCCCCATGCCCCTCCCTGCCCCCCTGGGACCCCCTTCTCCCCATTGCACCCTCAGGGGAGGAGAGAGGAGACTCACCCGAGTCCAGGAGGGGCTTTTGCAAAGGAGAGAGAAGAAGAAGGCAGGGAGGGAGGGGGAGGGGGGATTTCGCCATGGAGGACCTTCACTCCCCCTTCACTTCCCGTCCTCTCTAGGACTCCCGCTCTGCTCCTCTTAACCCTTGCAAGCCCAGCCCTCCCTCTCCCCGCGCCTGCGCTTAGGGGCTCCCTCCGCTCCCCCCCTCAGTCCGCCCCCCACACCCAGGGGGTCCCTTCAGCCCTCCTTCTTGGGGGTCTCCCTTCCCTCTGCCCCCCACACCCAGGGGGTCCCCTCAGCCCTCCTTCTTGGGGGTCTCCCTCCGCCCCCCCTCTCAGTCCGCCCCCCACACCCAGGGGGTCCCCTCAGCCCTCCTTCTTGGGGTCTCCCTCCGCCCCCCTCTCAGTCCGCCCCCACACCCAGGGGTCCCCTCAGCCCTCCTTCTTGGGGTCTCCTTCCCTCCCCCTCAGTCCGCCCCCACACCCAGGGGGTCCCCTCAGCCCTCCTTCTTGGGGGTCTCCCTTCCCTCCCCTCAGTCCGCCCCCACACCCAGGGGGTCCCCTCAGCCCTCCTTCTTGGGGTCTCCTTCCCTCCCCCTCAGTCCGCCCCCACACCCCGGGGTCCCTCAGCCCTCCTTCTTGGGGTCTCCTTCCCTCCCCTCTCAGTCCGCCCCCACACCCAGGGGTCCCTCAGCCCTCCTTCTTGGGGGTCTCCTTCCCTCCGCCCCCCACACCCAGGGGTCCCCTCAGCCCTCCTTCTTAGGGGTCTCCCTTCCCTCCCCCCAGCTTCTCCCCTTCAACTCCCGCCTGACTCCTCTTCCTCTCCTACCCACCTTCCCCTCCAAGCTCCCCCCTCAGAAAAGGCGCCTTGCATCTTCCCGCCAAAAGGCCTGGCTCCGCCCCCCGCTGGCTTAGGAGCCAATCAGAGCGAGGCTCCAGCCCCTGGGGGAATTTCTGAGGGACGAAGTCCGCTGACTGGCCTGGCTCTGCTGTCCATCACAGGCCCAACCAAGGGGGGCATCCGGCAGCTGCCCTATATCTCTAGAGATCATCCACGTCTGTCAGTTACCTGTCAATCCATTTTAGGGTTTGAGATCATTTGAAATAACTGTGCCGGGTGCCAGAGCCCCGAGAGGCCTAAGTTTAATCAACAGTAGTAATAAATGGATGGCGGAAAAGTCTGGGAGGCGAGCCCTCTCTGCCCCCTCAAGGCTCCTCTCAGGCTCATCCAGGGTCAAAGGCCTCCTCCATTTTTGGAGGGCCAGGAAGTGAGTGGCCCCTGCAGCTTCGCCTGCTGGAAGGGGGCGACATGCAAGAGGCCAGCCTGGCAGGGTTGTTGTGGAAGGGGGAGCTCCTGGGAGGAAAGGAGGTGCGAGGGAAATGCCATTCTAGAATTATTATTATTATTATTATTATTATTGCAAGAGGCGGGGAGTTCCAAAGGGCAGGTGCTGCCACACTAAGCCACGCAGTGCTGGAAAGGGGGTGAAAGGCAAGCGGCCAGCCTGGCAGGGTTGTGGAAGGAGGAGCTCCTGGGAGGAAAGGAGGTGCCGTGGAAATGCCATTCTGTCAGTAAAGTGCCTCCGCCTCTCACTCCTCTTTCAAACGAGAGCCAGGTGTGTGTGTGAGTGTAAACAAATAGAGTGAGGGGGGAAAGTATTTGATCCCCTGCTAAATTTGGGTTTTTTGCCCTCTGACGAAGAAATGCCTAGTCCACAATATTAATGGTAGGTTTATTGTAGCTGTGAGAGACAGAATAACAACAGAGAAACCCAAAAGACAAAAGTCAAAGATTGATGAGATTATTTTTTTGGGGGGGTTCTTGTTCCTACTTTTCTCTCTTTTATTTATTCCTAATATCATCCCGATCTTAATCCTTTATCTTATCTTGACAGCCACTGGCATGCAACTTTCATCATATTTAACAGATCTATATCTAAATTAACATGCATGATGAAAATTGTGCTCTTCTTGTTGTTGTCCATCAATTGTTTTCGGTGCAGTCCCTCCTCAGAAGGCCCTATTTCATTCCACCATCTTATCTTCCAGGACTCTGGGCTGTCTTCCTGCTTTCCTTTGTTTAGTTAAAATTAAGACACATGTAATGTATTTTAACTGACTGATATTTTCCCAAACTGAAGAATCTTCTGTAAGAGCGATAGATTTCACAGTTAATGTGAAACGGTAAAATCAGCTATGATTAAATGGGCACAAGACGTTGGACATAACATTATGTTTGCTGACTGGGAACAGTTGTGGACCACAGGTATGAAATTTACGGCATGCAATGCCTTAAGAGAGAATATTATGAAAATGATATACAGGTGGTACATAACCCCAGTCAAGCTTGCGAAAATCTATCATTTGCCCGATAATAAATGTTGGAAATGTAAAGAAACTGAAGGTACATTTTTTCACCTTTGGTGGACGTGCCCAAAGATTAAGGCTTTCTGGGAGATGATTTATAATGAAATGAAAAGGGTATTTAAATATACCTTCCCTAAGAAACCAGAGGCCTTTCTCCTGGGCATAGTCGGCCAAATGGTGCTAAAAAAGGATAGAACTTTCTTTATGTATGCAACAACAGCAGCAAGAATACTCATCGCAAAGTATTGGAAGACACAAGAACTTCCCACGCTGGAGGAATGGCAGATGAAACTGATGGACTATATGGAACTGGCGGAAATGACTGGCAGAATCCGTGACCAGGAGAAGACTTGGTGGAGGAAGATTGGAAGAAATTCAAAGATTATCTTCAGAAACACTGCAAAATTAAAGAATGTTAGAGTGATGTTGAATTGAAAATAAGTGGTTTCCAGCTGTACAGGATTTAAAGTTATAGATAGACTAAGATTAAAGATTAGGATTAAAGATGTTTAAGGAAATGGAAATTTGGTACTTAAGAGGTAAAATTTTAATGTTATATTACATTAAGATTAAAGATTGAGATTAAAAAAGTGGAAAAGAAATTGCTGGACAAACAATTTGGACTGGAATACAAAAGAGGGAGGTATGAGGAGGTCCAGAAAATAAGTAAATTTAAAAACGGATTATTCTTTTTTGGATTATGTACTGTGTATTTGTGTATTTCTTTTTTATGTTTTTCTGTTTAACTTTTTACAGAAACCTTAATAAAAATCATTTAAAAAAAACAAAAAACAGAAGGCCCTATTTCATTCCACTGTCTTATCTTCCAGGACTCTGGGCTGTCTTCCAGCTTTCCTTTGTTTAGTTAAAATTAAGACACATGTAATGTATTTTAACTGACTGATATTTTCCCAAACCGAAGAATCTTCTGTAAGAGACCACACTGTGCGATAGATTTCACAGTTAATACTTGTTTGGTTCCTCTAGAATCCAAGCTTGCTCCCCCTGAGCCCTAAGGGAAGATTACAAAGATCAAAGATTCACCTTCACTTTTATAAATCCATATATGACAAAAGTCCATGCAAGCAGATGGACTTTCACTGTATTCCTTTGGAAGGAAATGGAATTTGAGCTTTGATGATCGGCTATGGCTTTGGCAGGATGCCAGATCGTTATTGAGAGAGTTGGACGGAAGGAGAAGCTGGAGTCTTGCCAGAGCTTTGGCGGGACGCCAGATTACTCTCTATCTGGACTCAAACAATAACAAAAAAGGGAGAGAAGATGGCGTGTGACGCAGTTGAAATTACAGCCTCATTCTCTGGTAACACGGTATTTCAGCAAAGTCTCTCCATATCTTCAAACAAGCTGATACCTTGCCAATAATAATTAGAGCCCTCCACAAAGGACCGCACCATTAAACATCAAATTCTCAAGTTTTTTAATGAAGTTTCACTTGCATTCCATTTAATTAATTGAATCTTTCTCCATGAGGCTTGCCAAATCATGAAGTAGGTGTCAGTACTGCAGTGTTTCATTCTTTCATTGCACAGTGTGACACTGTGCCTTTAATTGCCTAATTACCTAATGTATCATCGTGTGAGAACGGGAGCAATTTCTATATCTCCTCCTCCTCCCCTCTGGTCCTTGCATCTGGCTTTTGCTGAAGGATACGGCTGCGTGAGTCAGCTCTGTCGCTCTGTTGCCTTCTTATCTTCTCGATGCTGCTTTCCAGCCAGAGTCTGCTTCTGCTGTACTCTGCTACTACGGGCGAAGTTCCTCACCATTCAGACAGATGAGGGAGGGCGTTGGCCCAACAGTAGCAAGTATAAGCAAAGATGAGATGCTCACCTCACATCTTCTGTAGCAGAGCGACAAAAGTCCTTTCAAAGTCCAAATTCAAATCTTTGTTGAAAAACAGGAATGCTCCCGCTCATGGCGTTGGCATTGGAGATTTTCCAATTCGTGCAATGCTAAACACCCAGCGCCCCTGCCTCCACTGTAGCGAGCAGCAGATATCGGACGGCGTGCGGGTGAAGGCACGTGCGCCCCATCCCTGCAGGGTTCAACAGGGATAATTACCCCCAGATTCACCTTGTTTAATTGCACGACTAGGGTCCGGTGTCCTGGGAAAGCAGCCAAACGCCATAGGCCATCACACCGGAAGTCTTCTCCAAAGTCTTTTTATATTCTCTCTCTGATAGTAAGAGCTGACTGTGAAAAGGAACTCTCTCAGAAGGGGGGTGGACCTTCCTTGGGGGGTTTTAAGAAGAAGTTGGATGGCCACCTGTCATGGATGCTTGAAATGAGATTTCTGGAGGGGGCTGGACTAGATTCTGAATCTATAATTCTATACTTCACCCTGGTGTGAGATCTTAAATTGACTTTTGAACAAGTGAAATTTTATACACATTCCGTGTGCTGATATGCTTTCAACCCCGTATGAATTATTTGGTGGGCCATGAACGAATCTTTTCCCACATTCCAAACACTAAACCGTTTTCTCTCTTGTATGGATTCTTTGATGGGAAGTGAGACTATCCTTCCGACTGAAGCTCTTTTCACATTCTGAGCACTGATAGGGTTTCTCCCTGTATGAATTCTTTGATGAGAAGTGAGATTCCCCTCCTGACTGAAGCGCTTCCCACATTCTGAGCACTGATAGGGTTTCTCCCCTGTATGAATTCTGTGATGGTAAGAGAGTGTGGCACTTTGACTGAAGCTCTTTCCACATTCCAAGCACTGATAGGGTTTCTCACCTGTATGAATTCTTTGATGGGAAGTGAGCTTGTGGCCCTCCCGGAAGCTTTTCCCACATTCCAAGCACATATAGGGTTTCTCCCCTGTATGAATTCTTTGATGGGAAGTCAGATCACCACTCTGACGAAAGCTCTTTCCACATTCCAAGCACTGATAGGGTTTTTCCCCTGTGTGAACTCTTTGATGGGAAGTCAGATCACCACTCAGACGAAAGCTCTTTCCACATTCCAAGCAGTGATACGGTTTCTCTCCTGTATGAAGTCTTTGATGGGAAGTCAGATCACCACTCAGACAAAAACCTTT